ATATATATATATATATATATATATATATATATATATATATATATATATGTTTATTCGCTAGTAGCATGTGACAGCCCTCGAATATGAGTGAGCCACGTTCTTAGACTTGGCCTGTTTGTGTAGTGTAAGAGGAGCGCTGCGGCGCCACTCAAATAGTTTTCTGCAGCGGCGCAGCTGAAGCGCCTGCGTGTATGCACGAGTTCTGAGCAAAGCGGCACGTGGCTGCCATACACAGTTTTGCCTGGTGTGAGTACATGCAGCTAAGCAGCTGGAGAGCACGCTGAAGGTGCTGGTGCTGGGAGTTCTCCTGTATGCCCCCGCTAAGTGCATAGACGTCCTTCATGCATACAGGCAGATGTAGGCGATATGTTAGGCACAGGGAATCGTGACTGAGCTGTCTCCGCAGTTTCACATGCAAACTCAGGAGGCCAAATGGCATCTGTGTATACTCTATTTTTTGAGTGTAGTTATGGAGCACAGCCTTGTACCACTCGCCGAGGCGGATGCATCAGCGAACCCAAATGCTGAATAGACTACACCGTGCAAATGCATATCGAATTTTTTTTTGTTTCTCTAACTTGATTTAGTTGAGGGTGCTTGAAGCCGAGGAATATGCGCCATCTCCCATCTTTTTTCTGTTTTTCAACGGCGCCGAATTGCGTAGAAGTGAGCCAACTTTTTCTTTTCTTACCTTTTTATCCTCTTGCGGCTTGGAGCTCACTCTTGCATACGGGGTTGACATGGAGCACGGACCGCAACTTGGGGTTGCGCCAGGAATGAATTAGCTGCGGGGCAGTGAGCATCCAGTGGATGGCAAGCCGGGTGGGAGCTCTTTCTTACATAAAACATCTGAGAAATATTTGTTCAACTGTATGCACTTGGTTCTTGGGGGCCAACTGAACTGGATAGACCAGTGGGCCGGAGTGGATGATATTCCCCTCCGTTTCTACCAGCGTCACTGCACTGCACTCTCGAGCCACTGGTTCCACTCCGTCACCGGATAGGTTGAGAATGCTGTTGCTGCTGGTGACCACTGATAGGCGC